GAACACAGCAGGCCAAGCAGCATCAGAGGAGCAGGAAAGCTGACGTTACGGGTCTAGACCCTTCTTCAGAAAAAGAAGGGTCTGAAGAAGGGTCTAGACCCAAAACATCAGCTTTCCTGCTACTCTGATGCTGCTTGGCCTGCTGTGTTCATCCAGCTCTACATCTTGTTATCACTGATGAAAGACACATGCCTACACTTCACAACTTGCACACACTGTCAGCTACCCATCTATGACAGCCACATCAACAAAACAGGCTGTATAACACTCATTGCCACATGTCCTTGTCTTGCAGAACACAATGGTGCACAACAGAAGCCAAGAAATTTAACAAAAGGTAAGGGACAGGCACAACTGAATACCCTTTTCCCCACGAAGGTGATGGTGCTGGCCATTATTGAGATGTTGATTCCTGTGGCCAGTGGTGGGGCTGAAACTATGGATGATGATGCTATCCTTGCACCTGATCTTTATTTTCACTTCTCAACTCTGTCACACTCTTTTCATGTTGCAGATGGTATAGGAGTGTATGTCTCACCTTACACCCCATCCTGTCCCCTCCAAGATTAACTTTCTTTGTATTTTCTGACAGGATAAGTCTTATCGATTAGGCAGCAATCTTTGTCCATTTATAATTGCCCTTGAGAAGGTGGTGGTGAACCGCCACCTCAAACTACTGCAGCCCACATGGGGTGGGTACAGCCACAGTGCTGTCAGGGAGGGAGCTCCAGGATTTTGACCCAATGACACTGAAGGCATGGCAAACTACTCCCAAGTCAGGATGATGTGTGGCTTGGAGAGAATCTTGCAACTAGTGGTGCTAACATCAATCTTCTGCCCTTGTCCTTCTAGAGATCATGGCTTTGGAAGGAGCTGTCAAACCAGACTTGGAAAACTGTAGAAGTGCATCTTCTATATGGTACACACTGCTCCCATGGTGCATTGGTGGTGGAGGAAGTAAATGTTTAAGATAGCAGATGGGGTGGCAAACAAACAGGCTGCTTTGTCCTAGATGGCACGCAGCATCTTGTTGTTGTAGAAGTAGCATTCATCCAAGCAAGTAGATTGCACTCCTGACTTGCATCTTGTTGATGTTGGACTGGCAGTGGAGAGTCATGAACTGAGCTACTCCACAGAATTCCCAGCTGTTCACCTGCTCTTGAGGCCACTGTATTTAAACGGCAGGTGCCTTTCTGCCTTTAACCCCTATGGTAAAGGGATATCTATCTACTCTATCTATCCTGTCTATGCCCCTCAGAACTCTGCCTTTTTCTCGTAACTTTCTCTTCTCAGATCCCAAAAAGTTAAAACTAGTCATGCAGTGGAAATACTTCAAGATGACAATGGTAATGAAGACATAGTATTCTCATTAAATTTCACACTCAAAACCACCAGATCAGACTGACATTGTGCATTATTTAAAGGATAGCATGGAAGCAGGATCTGCACATCGTGACACACATGGCAAGAGTTGCCTGTGGCAGGATAAGGAGCAAGGTCACATATAGGATCTGCTGCTCGAGAATTTGGATAAATTTGATGTAGCAGCTTTCAGAAGGACCCACATGGGTTTGTACAAATATATCACGCAGCAAATCAAAACGATTCTTTAATCCTGCTCTACAAATTACTGCAGGGCTCCTCCAGAGTATTTCAGGTGGCAGGAGCTATATTCTGCATGCTAGCATTATGGCTCACTGGGATAGTGCGCTGGAAATTGAGACCCATTATTCCCAGAGTCCTCACAAAAATTAAAGCTTTTATAATGTACACAAAGTTCCACAATTTATCTGACTTTCAGACCCAGGTTGATAGAAAATGCAGGCTGGGTTTCTGTACTAAACAAGAATGACTATTTATGACAAGTAATTAGACTCTAGCGACAAATAAGAAGTTATAAACTGTTGGCATATGACACTACTTATTAAACCTCTAATCCCCATACAATCTCCCCCTAACACAGCCACACACACATGCACACACACAGACAGACAGACAGGGAAAATATGTTATTTGGCAGAGGGGAAAGCAGTCAAGAAAACAATAGCTTTTGTTCCCAAGTTTGGTTGCTAGGTTGATCCTTATTGTGTTTCTTCTGGCTTGCCCATTCCTTCACTCATCTTTCTCTGGATGTTTCTACTGGTTGGTAAGAGATACAAAGTGGCTGGTTCACTTATCAAAGGTCCCTGGCTTATCAGTTAAAAGTCACAGTGTACAACATCTGCTGTAGAAAGGATATAATGTTTTTTTTCGTTTTAAAGTTAGCTTGACAGCAGAGAACAGAAAGATCACTCACAGACTGGGGAAGAACTGAACACTTCTCCCTCCCTCTCTCTCTGTAACTTCTTTTTCCCCAGCTCTGAACTGTTCAATTATTTGAGAACCAATCAACAGTTATTCGTAGGCAAAAAAGTCTCTGTCATTGATAAAAGCGAAAGAACTGTGGATGCTGTAAATCACAAACAAAAACAGAAGTCACTGGAAAATCTCAGCTGGTCTAGCAACATCTGTGAAGAAAAAGTCAGAGTTAACATATCGGGTCAGGTGACCTTTCCTCAGAACTGATAGTAGCTAGGAAAACCCCATCCTCGAACTGATAGTAGCTAGGAAAACCCCTTCCCTCTCCCTATCTTCTGCAAATAAACCAACATTTTCCTTGCTGCCATCAGTTCTGAGGAAGGGTTACCGGACTCGGAACGTTAACTCTGATTTTTTCTTCACAGATGCTGCCAGACCTACTGAGCTTTTCCAGCAACTTCTGTCTCTGTCATTGATAACTGGTCACTTGTCCACAGACCAATCAACTTCTTGTTTCCACCAAAAGCTACATCTGTACACCCTCTCAGCTCCAAATCAGCTGCAACTCAAATTTTAATTACTATTTGTTCAGTTGTTTACATGATATTTGGCATGTTTGTCAGATTAAGTGCTTTCATACAGCCACCATTTCAAACACTGATTTTTTAAACCTTTCTTATTTCAGTTTTTAAAAACACAAAAGTAAAATCACACAGTTCTTACATTAGTGGTCTGGTTGATAACATTTTATATGCTAGCATAGAGTTTGTTGTTTGCATGCTGTGGATATGTTTGTGTACCAGAGTTATGAGCTATGCAATTGATGGATATTGTCACACAAAAGGCATGGTTTGCATAATAGCTCAAATAAAGGTAGCATAGTGGATTGCTGTGGAATAGAGTCATCATGGCTACTGACTGGACACAAGGCATTGATCCATGATTGTCTACTAATCTTAGCACATCAACTGGATGTTGGGAGATTGGAAACCCTTCTGGAACATAGCAGGATTGACATGCAGTGTCTTCAAAGTGATATGCTCACAGGTACTGCACCCTGAACCATAGAGACACCTGCAATCTTTGTGAAGTTGCATATTTATACCACTGGCTTTGGTCTGGCAAATGAAAACAAGATCTCATTGGACTTCAATGAATAGAGCATGCCAATGATCTCCCTGATGCAAGAATGGATGTCATATTGCAAATGTCTTCAATTTCAGCCTGAACAAAGCCATAAGCAAAAGATTTAGTCACTGCAATTACCTTCACAGCCATTGGTAGTGCAATTCTTGAATTGCTCTGTGGTTGCAGTTCTGGCTGCAGAATATGCTAAATGTCAGTGAGAACCCATGTTTCCTGCAAGCTGCATGAATGCATGACCATGCAGCATCCCATAAGTTATCATGTCCATTGCCCATTGTTGTTCTGCTTATAATAGCACATGTGGGGTCCCAGGCATTCAAATGAATAGACTTTGTGCAATAAAAGGAAATTAGAGGGGCCATTTGTGAAGATGATTTCTCACTGAAGTTCATGTCAGAAAAGTTCTCCCTGAACACAACAGTTGATTGTTGGCTCTTGTTGAGAGACATTCTACTCCTCCAGCTCTGTGCGGCCTCTGTTCACCTCCAAATTGTGCTGTGCTATTAGGGAAATGTCTACATTTATGATACCTACGTCTGTGAGCAGCTGGTTAATGCTAAAAACTTGAACTCAACGATATTTCCCTAAGTCCCTGCCATACAACACCCTGTGGATTTAAGAAAGAATGGAAAGCATCAATCAAATGACATTAACCGGCAACTAGAAAATAAACCACTGATGACCCTTTGCTGTAGTGATGATTGTGGTCGGACACAGCATGGGAAGATTTGGAGAACTTCCTGCTGTTGAATAAGTGTTCAACTGAGTGAGATTCAGAGGGCATTAGCATTACAGCATCAAAATTGAATCCTGAGCATCAAAGCAACATTGCATATTATCTGCTTCCTCTGCATTCAGTACTTCTGACTGCCATTTGCGGTGCACCAGAGGTTATCCTTATTGAGAATGCATCCAGTGCAAACACCCTAGCAGTGTGTACACAATGTGTAGGTGCCATGTTGGTCCCCAAACAACACCCAAACAGTGCCCCAGTACAAATTTTGCAACGTTAGTTTTCTGAAATCTCATCAGCACAATTCCCAAGCGAGCTACCTAAGCAAAGCCAACCACACACATGTCAACTTCTGAAAATAATGTTGTGCAATAAACTTCCCATCTATAAAGAAAAACATGCATAAAAGAAAAACTAGACATTTATCTAAATAGAAGTATGACTGACTCAATGATTTGATACCAAAAGTCAAATGCAAACTACAGCTTAATAAATTCTTACATGAAATCTCTTCTGAAGTTGTCAAATATTAGAGGCACCATTCCAAAATTTAATTGATCAGTCGATGTGGGTCTGATCGTTGGGATCTAAGATCACTGCTGGAGCCAAGAGAAAGAGTAATAGTTACCGTTAGCAGTTTGGGAGCTGACCTACTTCCTGAATAGTAAGTCGCGAGTTCCTTGTCTTTGAAATTCAGACTGAAAAGATTGTAGACCAACACGTGATCCAAGTTTCAACAGAAACCAGATCATTAATAATTCAGGACAGACACAGCATTGGCACTGCCGTTACTTAAACACAGGAAAGCATTACTGCATATTGAACTATATGAGAGTCACAGAGTTTTTACTCCAGAAAAAGACCCTTCGGCCCATCTTGTCCGCGTCATCAATCATCAAATCTCATTGTCCAGCACTAGACCCATAATCTGGTATGCTCTGGCATTTCAAATGCTCATCTAAATGGTTATTAACTGTCTTAAGGGTTCTCCCTTCTACTACTCCATTAGGAAGTGACTTCCACATATCCAAAACTTTCTGGGTGATTTTTTCACTCAAATCTCCTTTCAGCCTCCTGTCACTTTCCTTAAAACTGTCTCCTTTGGCTATTGACACCTCTAGCAAGGAGGATCTATCCATCCTGTCCATTCCCCTCAGAAC